AAAACTGGCGAGACGCAAGACAGCGACGCAGCGCAAATCAGAGAAGATTAACAAACGGGCGAGTTTGTGGATCATTTGCATTAAAAATGAGCAAACTCCGCCCACGCATACAACGACACGGCCACGGCAGCACCTTCATTCACAAGGACTTGGCCAACTGTCAAAAAGGTTGTCGTCAGACACGACGGCCCAACCAGGGCGCTACAGCAGCCATACGACGGACCTTATCAAGTCGTACAACAAACGAAAAAGTCTACAGGCTATTGGTCAACGACAAGCCAATCAACGTCCCCATAGACCAATTGAAGTCAGCATACGTCAGGGACGACCACAAGCAGCCAATAGAACCAGCCGCAGCCAAGCAGTCAAGACCCTCCACAGCCGACAAGAAGAGGAGCAGCAAAACATCAAAACCAACTACTCGTTTTCAGGCTTAAAAACTGCCAAGGGGGTCCTGTGGCGGCTCACCGCCACACAGCTTACTGAAGCGGCATAATACGCCGCGGCGCCGCTACGCGCCGCAGGCCTTCTACCAGTTATAAGCTTGCGGACCCACCGCCAGGTGGCACAGGCGGTGAAGAGCTTTCTCGCGATCAAGCTTCGATCGAGGAGATATAAAAGAGCTGCTCTGCAGATCTTTACTCACTCACTCGCTTCAAGGCGAGCTCTCCCCAGGGCCCTTGAACTGAGTCGTACTCTGCCTCGGCAGAATCTAACAGAGACACATAGTCTCGCCGTTTTTCTCACACTGCCTCGCAAGGCGTGTAAAAAGAAAGCAGAGTCCCAGCATCGGCCACGCACTTCAACCAAGCGGCCCGCGGATACTCCACTTTCGCCGTCACCTCCTCAGTCTCTAGTGTGGAAATTAATCCCACTAGAGTTCTGCGTCCGGTTGACTCGACCACCAAGGGACACGCTCACTCAAGGCGACATCCGAATTCGGAGACCTCTCTCTCCTCGGTACACGGAGCAATCCGTAATTCCGAGAGCCGAGACGGTTGCCACCACCAGCACAC